AAACCCGGCCAACATAATGGCTGTACCCACGGGCAAGTCGTTGGTTATGGTCGGGCCGTAAGTTTCATATTTTCTATTGAACACCAGAATAAAATTTAACAATAAAATTACGCGGTGCTCATATCAAGAAAGTATGTACGTTGCTTCAACATGCTTCAAATAAGTTATGGACATTCGTGGAATGACGCCTAGCAATACCTTGTAATTGAACTCGGGTATGGTAAAACGTTTCTGTGTGTAACAGGGGGTGGGGGGGGTCTCTGCTGTATTGGGCTATGGTAGATATTGCAGAAGTTTTTATTTTAAAGGAGGTAATGTAGAAATAATGTGAGGTTGGTCCAAATAGGTTTTGTGGGAGGTTGGTCCAAGTAGGTTTTGTGGGAGGTTGGTCCAAGTAGGTTTTGTGGGAGGTTGGTCCTAGTAGGTTTTGTGGGAGGTTGCTCCAAGTAGGTTTTGTGGGATATGGTTGATTCAAGTAGGTTCTGTGGGAGGTTGTAGCTGCTGAGCTCTTCAAAAGGACACCCGGATGTGAGGACATATCAAGAAAGCTGGTTACTATGGCAACTATAAGACTCGATGGCGTGAGGTTTAGATTATATAACTAAATTAGAGTGAAGGTCCTTACTTTTCCATCTAGCCAGAATTAGCATTTTAAGGCGTCACACACACACACACACAAACGCACACACACACACACACACTTACATACATACAAAGAGCCATGCAAACACATTCGTACAAACACACACATAAACTAACAAGAAAAAATAAACACACACCAGTGGCGGAACTAGAAAAAAAGGGCCACCCCGCAAAAATATTTTTAGCCCCCCCCCCCCCCCCCCCCCCCATATATATATATAAACACAAAATACGAAAATAGAATACGCATTGCTGGCCTGTTCGAGTTTGGAAAAAATGTTTTTTTTTTAAAATATAACAAAATACAACATCATGTCATGTGTGTAAATGCATCAGTGTGTTTTGCGAAAATGAGTTTTATTTAACTGTGCTAAAAGACCTCTTAACTTCTAGTCGGTCAGAAGAATATAAACCATGCGAAAGCTTTGTATAAGTAATGGTGTTTCGTTTTATGTTTATTTTTTGTTTTGTTTTGTTCTTAAATTATTCATTTTAAATACATTTCCTTTTTATACAATCTTATTCTTTAGTAAGTACTTTTTAAAAAGTTATTAAGAGAAGTAATTGCTTTTTAATTTGTTTAGTACAAATCTACTAAAAGGAGCTTATGAGCACCACTATTTGAATATTTAAAAAAGGGAAATAAGTCATGGAAGTCTGCTTATCATTGATAAGTTTGATTGTAGGAGAAAGAAGACTCGGCTTTCACAGTGGTTTAAAAACAAAGGGAAAAAGAATATACAAGAGCGTGGGGCGGTGTCTATAGAATAAAGATAATCCAATTGCAGCTACGGTATTCTTTTTAACAAAACAACCATGAATTCAAAAATGCAAGTAAATTATTTTTTTTTTAACTATAAAAAAATTATGGTCGGCTGTGGGCCTCTAAATGGCGTGGGCCCCCCCCCCCCCGCATTGCGGGGTCTGGCGGCACTGTAGTTCCGCCCCTGACACACACAAACATGTACATTGAGATATATACAAATGTTAGTCTTCCCATAAACCAAACACTGAGTACTCAGCTCACGAGCATGTGATGAATGAAGGAAAGACCCAGATTTAAGACACTTGATATTGGGTCTGCACCTTTTCTTTATGGTAACGGTTTTAATTCAAACTTTAGGACGCCAAACGTGATAGTTCTGCAAATGTTTCGTCAATCAACAATTTTTTTTTCCGGTCTGAGTTTTTCATCGGCATTTTTTTTTAGTCGTCGTCGGTGATGGAGGGAAGTCACGGAATGTTTCTTCATTAGGGGCTCTGGACTTGTGGAGATTCTAAATCAGACTGGTTGCTATGGCAACCACGTGAGAGACGGGTAGCTATGGAGGCCAGCAGCTAAATGTACCCGATGTCACTGTAGCTAGTGCTACCCGGTGTCACTGTAGCTAGTGCTACCCGATGTCACTGTAGCTAGTGCTACCCGATGTCACTGTAGCTAGTGCTACCCGGTGTCACTGTAGCTAGTGCTACCCGGTGTATCTGTAGCTAGTGCTAGCTGAAGTCACTGTAGCTAGTGCTAATCGGTGTCACTAACTGTGCTACCCAATGTCACTGTAGCTAGTGCTACCTTGTATCACCTAATGTCACAAGATCTAGTCAATGCCAATGTAGCTAGAGCTACCTTGTTGCTACAGCCATCAAATGTCACCGGTTGCCCTAATCACCAAATGTCACTTGTTTGACAGAAAAACTAAATGACATTCGATGCTGTAACTATAAGCTTCCTAATGTCACCAGACGTCAATGTACATTGTCGCGTGTCGCTGTCACTTTTACCATGTGACTCTTTCTTTTGTACCAGGTAAACGTATCTTGACAGTTCGGTAAAAACCACCCAATAACACATGGACCTGTACCAAATACCTCCGAATAACACATGGACCTGTACCAAAAAACCACCCAAATACCCCAGCTCAGGTCGGCAAAAACCACTCAGTAAACCTATCGTACTGAATCACATTTCTCTCATACACACGTCACACAACTCTCTCATACACACGCCACACAACTCTCTCATACACACGTCACACAACTCTCTCATACACACGTCACACAACTATCATACACACGCCACACAACTCTCTCATACACACGTCACACAACTCTCATACACACGTCACACAACTCTCTCATACACACGTCACACAACTCTCTCATACACACGTCACACAACTCTCTCATACACACGTCACACAACTCTCATACACACGCCACACAACTCTCTCATACACACGTCACACAACTATCATACACACGCCACACAACTATCATACACACGCCACACAACTCTCTCATACACACGTCACACAACTCTCATACACACGTCACGCAACTCTCATACACACGTCACACAACTCTCTCATACACACGTCACACAACTCTCTCATACACACGCCACACAACTCTCTCATACACACGTCACACAACTCTCATACACACGTCACACAACTCTCTCATACACACGTCACACAACTCTCTCATACACACGTCACACAACTCTCTTACACACGTCACACAACTATCATACACACGCCACACAACTATCATACACACGCCACACAACTCTCTCATACACACGTCACACAACTCTCATACACACGTCACACAACTATCATACACACGTCACACAACTCTCATACACACGTCACACAACTCTTATACACAAGTCACACAACTCTCATACACACGTCACACAACTCTCATACACAAGTCACACAACTCTCATACAAGTCACACAACTCTCTCATACACACGTCACACAACTCTCATACACACGTCACACAACTCTCATACACACGTCACACAACTCTCATACACACGTCACACAACTCTCATACAAGTCACACAACTCTCATACAAGTCACACAACTCTCTCATACACACGTCACACAACTCTCATACACACGTCACACAACTCTCATACAAGTCACACAACTCTCTCATACACACGTCACACAACTCTCATACACACGTCACACAACTCTCTTGAGCGTTAAGTAAAAAAAAAAACAATTTTTTTTCCATCGAGGCTGGGGATATCGATCGTTCTCTAAAGCACACGCTGACAACAGTTAGATCAACACGGCTGTCAGTGACAGAGATACACAGTGACAGAGATACACAGTGACAGAGATACACATTGACAACACAGTGGCAGAGGTACACAGTAGCAGATATACACAGTAACAGAGATATACAGTAACAGAGATATACAGTGACAGAGATACACAGTGACAGTGATACACAGTGACAGAGATATACAGTGACTACACAGCGACACACCTACACAGATACAAAACAACACAGTTATAGAACTACACAGTGACAGCAACTAGGTCCAACACCACAGGCACAACTGACAGGAACTACACACAGACACAACATCTGACATCAAGTAGGTCCTACACAACTGACATTACAGATACAACTGACAACAACCCCACGCGAACTGTTACTTGCACAACTCCTGTTTACAATTGATTTCCCGGCTCTTAACGTCGCATCTTCCACAACAATCTACACAAAAATCAATTTCTTGGATTAAAGATGTTCGATTTGGAAATCCTTGAAATAAAACTATTTGTCCTTGTTAGGATATCGTTTATTTAAAATTGTGACTAAATTATAAACACCTCATCTTTTAGACTAGCCTGTAACAAGAGACTAGGCGTATGGTAGTTAGTCGTATAGGCATTTTATTTAGATAATTAGTCAGCTGTTTTACCATTAAAATCTTGCTTCATCCCAAACCCCACACCATCTCACCACCACTCACACAAAGGTTACTATGCCACCTAAATATATTAACATTTTAATTACTTAATATTACCGTACATCTATACAAATACTAATCAGTCGGTAGACCATGCATATGGCGGATGGTATAGGTGGGGAGGGGGGTGAGGGGGGGGGTGAGATACCAATAGACGACTGCTGCAAATAGCGTGTGTTAAGAGAAATGACGAATTAGGAAAAAATGACTCGGGTGATAGAGAAAAATGACTTGTTTCGAAAACGTATTTGTAATACGCGAAACTTGTGAAAAATATTAAAATTGTTTGCCTTATAATGCTTAATAACGGGGGTAAATTGACTTTGACAAAGGTAAATGATGTGCAATAGATACAAATAATTTATGACACATCTACAAGATTCGAAAATAGAATGAGAAGCCACAGAATTGCCAATGTCATTATAAAATATTAGAAAAAGATAAGCGAAATATTAATATGCGACTGTCCAACCAATGTGTTAGAAACAACACAATCGAGGTAAACAACACATCAAGACATGAGCTACAACTCCTGAGGTCAACAACCGGGGCCAAACGTAAACAAACAAAATCAACCACTCACCTTTCTGCTGTTCCTGCTGGCACTAAAGATGGTCAACACAGCCAGACGTATTTGTCGTCTGCTTCAGATCTGATGCTTCCGGCGAATAAACTCAAAATTTTAAACTTCAATAACAAGCAAATGAAAATAATAGTATATTCAAAATGTACCACTTGGTTATCTAGTAGCGTAAAGACTGGTTACAAAAATAAACAAAGTCTGATGTATCTCAAACTCTATCAGTAGCTAGAATAAGAAACCAATGCTTGTATGCTACAACTTAGGAGGCTGCTAGCGAGGGTATGGAATTTCTTGAAATCAGATGATTTAAAAAGTAAGCAGCAAACAATGGTGCGAAGTTAGCGGAAAATCTTACGCCTTCCGCGCTCGGGCTACGGAACTGCGATAGTTATGACGGCTACGTCACAACTAAACGCTCGTTCGATGCCAGAGTTCTAGACTCAGGACTCGTCGACTCACTGCTGCGCATGCGTTAAACCTTCTTCCGACTACCGTATTCGATTCGCGTAATACTGATTCGATTACAGATGAGATTGGAATGCTGCCCCGAACTAAATTTGCATGAAAATATCATTTTACTTTTCTTAATCGCGCGCTCTATAGAATATAATTTCAGAAGAAACTTCAGAAGAAATAAGTCCCTTTATCTATCAACGGAATCTGAAAAATGTAGGATTCTGTTTATAAACCATAGCACCCACTTATTCTGGTTCAAAGAATAATAGGATAGACTAGGTGAGTGAGTTAATATTCGATGATTTCACACCAACCTGGAATTTTAAGATGACGTTTTTATCAGGGTATTGCATCAAAAATCTAGGAAGGTTCATTAGTGAATAGTGTGTGTTGCAACACTCTGAAAGCGGTTTCCAGTATTTTCGTAGTCCTAAATATTGTCAAGTTAGTTTGTTTGTTTTTGTTGATAGGTTTACAAAGGACGTAGCACAAATGCTACCAACTTCAACATTATGACACTAACATAATGACACCAAAATAATGACACCAACATAATGACACCAACATAATGACACCAACATAACCACACTAACATAATGATACCAACATAATGACTCAAACATAATGACACCAACATAATGACACCAACATATTGACACCAACATAATGACACCAACACCACTTGAAAAAATAAAGGGGGGGGGGGGCGGGAAGGTTCTCATTTAATAACTTTACCGAAGGGTTGACGCCAAGACAAAAAACTGCTAGCCTTTTTTGGAATAGTAATTGGTCAGACCAACTAGGGCATATTAAGATTAAGTATATATTGTCATTGATATAAATATATATATATATATATATATATATATATATATATATATATATATATATATATATATATATATATATATATATATATATATATATATACATATATTGTTTGGCTATAGACCAGAGATTTGAGCAGCAATGGAAATGCCCGGATTTAGCAAACCCCCACGCCAAAATCGAAAGTAGAATGCCACTTCCGTTGATGGCGTCAGTCATCACGCAAGCCACGTATCAAAATAAAACCGGGGCGGGTCGCTGAAGCGAGATGGAGTCGAGGATAGCACGACCTATGTCATTAAGTGGCTGAGGTCGATAGTCACACGACTGTAGCAATTAAAAGGCTGACGCCACATCGCTGAGGGTGATTCTCGTCTGCTGTTAACCGTCTGCTGTTCACCGTCTGTTAGCGTCGAGTTATTGAAGTCTGCGATGCATTAGAAAGCGCCAATAGCCTCCAGGTTATATAGCCTAGCACTGAAACAGTGTCTGATTCGACTTCAGATTGAAATGTATGATTTGAACTAAATATAAACATGAAGTATCGTTTATACTTATATCCTACCAGACCCTCAAGGTAAGTCCTACCCCACCCTCAATACAATCCCTACCCCACCCTCCCTACAATCTCTACCCCATCCTCCCTACAATCCCTACCCCACCACCTATTACATAACACTATTTAACACATAGCAGTACTAATTGCATAACAACGCTAATTATATAACGGCAATAATTACATAAGACCGCTAATTGCATAACACCACAAAATACATAATATCATTGATTACATAAACCATAAATTATAATTACATAATATCAAGTTTACATAACACCCCTAATTACACAATATCAACGATTGCAAAACACCACTAATTACATGACACCACTAATAGCATGACACCACTAATTATACGATTATCCTAACATCCCAGTCCCATCTGTATTGAGAAAGAACGTGACGTCAATTGACTGACTAAAATAACTCCACCAACTGCAATAGCAATACATAATTCAAATCGCTTTCGTCCCTTCTTGATCGACGACTACCAAAGACGAACGTGGGCGACAATACATTGAAACCATCGGGGAATCAATTTGATTAAAATATTTGTTTAGGTCGTAATTAGCCAAGACTTTAGGAACTTTTGATACAATAAGTAATAAGCACATAATAATATCTTGATGAAGTTAGAATTGTGCAGCGCTTTAATACCAGACTTTCTAGAAATTTGTTTCTCTGTGTTCACTCAACTAAGACCTGACATGAATCTGTAGACTATGAACTCAGCCAACTGGAGTACCTATCATGAATCTGTAGACATCTATGGACCTCACTCAGCCAACTCGAGTACCTATCATGAATCTGTAGACTATGAACTCAGCCAACTCAAGTACATATCATGAATCTGTAGACTATGAACCTCACTCGCCAACTTGAGTACCTATCATGTTTCTGTAGACATCTATGAACATCGCATTCATCTTAAAACGTTGTGAGTCCACCCAGCTGTGTAATTACCATTTCGGGCTTGTTGGTCAATAGAGCAGATGAAGTAGAGTCCACCTGTTTCTGTTACATCGGCAGATGAAGTAATACACTTCTAGTCAATGTGTGTAGTCTTGTTGTGTCTGACGAGACCCAGATGGACTAGCTTCAAGGATACAGGGATACACGTCATCAGACAAATCTTTAGACGTCCCAAGGATACACGTCATTAGACAAATCTTTAGACGTCCCAGCGATACACGTCATTAGATAAATCTTTAGACGTCACAGGCATACACGTCATTAGACAAATCTTTAGACGTCCCAGCGATACACGTCATTAGATAAATCTTTAGACGTCCCAAGGATACACGTCATCAGACAAATCTTTAGACGTCCCAGGGATACACGTCATTAGATAAATCTTTAGACGTCCCATAGATACACGTCCTCAGACAAATCTTTAGACGTCCCAGGGATACACGTCATCAGTCAAATCTTTAGACGTCCCGGAGTCCACTATTTGAAGTACCAGACTTACAGCCATGTAAAGTAAAAGAAAACACTGGACATGATGCTCATCCAGAACCTCGTACTTTATAGCCTAGTCTCGTCTCGTCTCACTGTGTTTCCACATTTACTCTACTTCTACTACGATAGTGTCAACACTAATGTTTATGTTGAACGTTCACCGTAGCCCACGTCGTTCCTAGTTTACACAACAGACAAAGTACATCTCTTATCATTTCTCTTTTATGTTTCATCGAAATGAAACTCGAACATTTTCTTCAAAATGACACATTCTCAAGAGCCCTACTTAACGAAATGAAACCACTTATTTAAAAAAAAATCAATTATAATTCTATCGATTTCGGGTCCCAACTCTTGTGAGAGGATTGGCCATCTTTCTGATGACGTCTACAGATATCTAAAGCTGTGACGTAGTTTAACATTGCTGGTTGTCGATTCTTTAGTCGCCGAAATAAGAATGTGGTTGATAACATCAGTTTTACCCACTTTGATAGTCTTCAATATTTACATGGGACTGTCTTTGATAACATCAGTTTTACCCACTTTGATAGTCTTCAATATTTACATGGGACTGTCTTTGATAACATCAGTTTTACCCACTTTGATAGTCTTCAATATTTACATGGGACTGTCTTTGATAACATCAGTTTTACCCACTTTGATAGTCTTTAATATTTACATGGGACTGTGGTTGATAACATCAGTTTTACCCACTTTGATAGCCTTTCATATTCACATGGGACTTTCCCGAGCTTTGTGATGTTGGCCCTTCAATTTGGAATTGTGGGAACTTTTCTGAGTTGATGAGGTCAATGTCCATCGGTCACGGGCTCTAGAGCCACATAAGGCTCCAGTAGCCACATAAGGCTCCAGTAGCCACATAAGGCTCCAGTAGCCACATAAGGCTCTAATAGCCACATAAGGCTCCAGTAGCCACATAAGGCTCCAGTAGCCACATAAGGCTCCAGTAGCCACATAAGGCTCCAGTAGCCACATAAGGCTCTAATAGCCACATAAGGCTCCAGTAGCCACATAAGGCTCCAGTAGCCACATAAGGCTCCAGTAGCCACATAAGGCTCCAGTAGCCACATAAGGCTCCAGTAGCCACATAAGGCTCCAGTAGCCACATAAGGCTCCAGTAGCCACATAAGGCTCCAGTAGCCACATAAGGCTCCAGTAGCCACATAAGGCTCCAGTAGCCACATAAGGCTCCAGTAGCCACATAAGGCTCCAGTAGCCACATAAGGCTCCAGTAGCCACATAAGGCTCTAATAGCCACATAAGGCTCCAGTAGCCACATAAGGCTCTGGAGCCACATAAGGCTCTAGTACCCACATAAGGCTCCAGTAGCCACACAAGGCTCCAGTAGCCACATAAGGCTCTAATAGCCACATAAGGCTCCAGTAGCCACCTTTGACTTTGAGGCTTTGCATTAATTAAGACCTTAATAGAAATAATAAATCAAACGACGCCAAGTGCTTGGATAAAGTGGGGCACAGAATTCTCCGGTCACTCTAGCTTCGAGCCAAGCAACAACACGGCGATTAGGACGAGATCGATATCGCCCATAAGCTTCAGAGAGCGTCCACACAACAGGCTGGAAACGGGCGAGAGCTGGATCGATATGCCAGTCTTGGTGCCAGTGGCCGTCTGGTAGCTCTCAGAACTGGGCTCTCTCGCTGCCATCTGGTTCGTCGCTGGTTGACATAGTATTCGGTGTCTCAAACATGTGGTCTGCGGGCCGCGGGTGGCCAGTCTCTTCACTCACAATGTTAACATTTTAACAACTTTAAATTGCACATCACAATTTCAGGGGGTTTGTTATCTGATAGTTAAGTTTTTGGAGTACGTTTTTACTACAACCCAGTAAATGTTCCCACGTTTACAAAAATAGGTTTATGTTTTCTTAGAGGTCGACACTCTTCTGTTAATTCAAAACCAAGAAGTTGGTCAACATTTTCTTTTATGTCTAAGAATCTGGATTAAGTTTAGGATTATACGTATGTTTATGGTTAAGGCATTTATAAGCATTGTGTAACAAAAATTACCCGTATAGGCCAATGACTTGAGTTCGTATGTGGTAGATGCAGTAGAGTTTTTTTTTGTTTCTTTTACTGTGGCATATAGAGCAATGGTGCG